AGGTCACCCCAGCCTTAGTTGAAGAGTGAGATCCGGTCTCCAAAAAAAAAGAGTTGTGCCTGACTTTCATTTCTTAAAATCACAAATACATCCACATTATGCTAAGTTATGCCTAGGTATGATTCCAATCCTGAAAATAAAGGTAAAAATAATTACAGCAAGTAAAACTAGAAAACAAATGAGTATTAGAAGAGAATACACAGGGGAAGGAAGGGAATTTGGGGTTGGGTTGATTTGTTAGTTGAAATTTATTATTGTTTAATTGAGTCTATTTACATGGCTTACTCACTGCCCTTGCGCTATAAATAAATACCTTTTGTTTATTTCTACCAACTGTCATATTTCTTGTTCTGATACGCCCAAAAAAGATGGTATCGAAAGTGCATCAGAGGATGGCATTTTTACGTATAATGCTTCAGTGATGTTGTCAGAGAGTTTATCAGCTCTGGCCTTGAATTTAAAGAGTTATATTGATTTGTCAACCAGGCAAATACTTATTGGTCACTGATATGTCAGGCCCCTACTACTGAGGGTACTAGAAATACAAGGATGAAAGAAAGGAGACATACTTCATTTTCTCTATGGATAGCCAATCTTGAAAGTGAGGAGATGCAGGACACTGAATCATTAGATTGTCTTTAAATCATGGTTTTATAGGCATATAAATTTGAACCTATCCATTGCAAAGCATATCCTCCATGTTCTTTCTCTCTAGGTTTTCATTTCTTCCTTTTAGCCTATGTTTTTTCCTCTCTTCTCTCAGTTGAAGAGATTTTGTTTTTTGTTTTTGGGACAGGGTCTTGGGCTTCTGATCACCCAGGCTGAAGTGCAGTGGATGATATTCAGCTCCTGGGCTCACCTTTGCAGACCTCTGGTTCTCTGGGGTCAAGCTGTCCGCAACCTCAGCCTCCCAAGAAGCTGAGCTACAGGCACACAACACCACGCCCAGCTAATTTTTGTATTTTTGTAGAGACGGGGTACCACCATGTGCCCAGGCTGGTCTCCAACTCTGGCTCAGTGATACACCTGCCTCAGCCTCCCAAAGTGTGGAATTACAGCATGAGCTTCACCGCGCCCGCCAGTTGAAGAGATTCTTTACAACCCTTTCTAAATCCACTACTCTTGACCTCCTCTAGTCTCTCTTCAAAAAATTATTCTTAAATAATTCTTGCCAACATATTCAGTTTCATTTATCTCTCTGTATCCTGCTTCTAAAAAGGCAGATTGCCTTCAGATCAATCTTTACATAACAGTGATCAAAAGCCTTCATGACTCCTTGCTATGTTCCCAAAAAGATCCAAAACAAAACCCACTGCAACCATAGCCCCCATGTACTTCTCAGCTTTCTCCTCTACTCACTTCAACATGTCATGCTCCAACCAACTGAATACCCACAGTTCCCTCAAAATACCTTGTTCCTTCTTACCTTTTGTCCCTTTGATTAATACATTTTCTAAAGCACAGAAAGATGAACTGCTTTTAAAAAAGTAGAGATAGGGCCAGGCACAGTGTCTCACTGTATCCCAGAATTTGGGGAGGCTGAAGTGGGTGGATTGCTTGAGACAGGAGTTTGAGAATCAGCCTGGCACAACGTGGCAAAACCCCATCTCACTAAAAATAAAAAAATTAGCTGGGCATGATGGCACATGCCTGTGATCCCAGCTACCTTGGGAGTCTGAGGCATGAGAATCACTTTAACCCAGGAGGCAGAGGTTGCACTGAGCCAGATCGTGCCCACTGCACTCCAGCTGGGTGACAGAGTGAGACCCCTGCCTCAAAAAAAAAAAAAAAAAGAGTAGAAATAGGATGTCTCTTTCAAAGACTCACTCTTGCCAGGCACAGTGGCTCACACCTGTTATCCCAACACTTTGGGAGGCCAAGGTGTGACGATCACTTGATCCAGGAGTTCAAGACCACCTGGGCACATAGGGGACCCACATACTCTACAAAAAAAAAAAAAAAATGTTTAATGAGCTGGGTGTGGTGGCACACACCTGCAGTCCCAGCTGCTCAGGACGCTGAGGTGGGAGGATCGCTAGAGCCAGGAGGTCAAGGTTGCAATGAGCCATAATCACGCCACTGCACTCCAGCCTGAAGGACAGAGCCAGACAGAGCCAAAACATAAGTTCATCTTTTTTTTCCATCATATTCACCTGACAGAAAAATGAATCCAAATTCCAAAGCAAACCAATGTCTCTAGTTCTTCTAACTCATGGAAGAATTTCAGCCTACTATGTTGTTTTTAATAATTTCACAACTTTTATGAATTTTTATGTGACTGCCTCTGTATCTAAACCAAAATGTTTTACAGGAAATGGAAAGATTAATGTTAAGTCAATAATGGAGGGCCTGAAGAAGTTTAAACGTAAGTGAAAATTTATGATACGATATAAAATTGTAATCTCATGCTATATGTGTATTTTTATCTGTGTTTTCTTGGTTATAAAAGTAATATGTGTTCATTATAGAAAATTTCTATATTTAGCAAACGACAAGATGAAAAAAGGAAATTTTAATAATTCTTAATTCTGTCCTCCAATGATAATCCATACTTTTATCACCACAAATTTTTTCCTTATGCGTACATAATTTCTGTGCATTTTTATCCATGTCCAATATATTTACATTCCATTTTCTTACTCATATTAAAATCTTACTTGTTTATAAATATAGCTAAGCTGGGCACGGTGGCTCATGCTTGTAATCCCAGCACTTTGGGAGGCCAAGGCAGGTGGGTCACCTGAGGTCAGGGGTTCAAGACCAGCCTGACTAACATGGTGAAACCTCATTTCTACTAAAAATACAAAAATTAACCGGGTGTCATGTTGTGCGCCTGTAGTCCCAACTACTTGGGAGACTGAGGCAGGAGAATCGCTTGAACCTGGAAGGCGGAGGTTGCAGTGAGCTGAGATTATGCCATTACACTCCAGCCTGGGTGACAGAGAGAGACTCTATCTCAAAAAATAAATAAATAAATATAGCTAATAATCTAAAGTTCCTTTCTGGATGCCTCTGAAATTTAATACATAATCTCAGTACTTTTTGCTTGTAGGCCCCTTATATTTAATTATTTCTAAAATAATTTTCTTATTGTGAAAATGTCGTGTTCCATGCTTACACAGAAAAGAATGAATGGGAGATTTGAACATTATGCTGTGAAATTGATCAACAGAGGCAAGGTAAAACTTGTCTCTGCCCTCTTCCCACACACGTACAACCTCAATTTTGAATTCATTTTTAAGTAATTTTGGTTTGTTCTCTGCATCTACATTCCTAACAAGTGTGACAAAAAAGAAATTTGCTGTGTCTCTGCAAGCCTGACTGTGTTTCAAAAAAGAAGGATGTTGCAGGGCATGGTGGCTCACTTCTGTAATCCCAGCACTTTGGGAGGCCAAGACAGGCAGATTGCTTGAGGCCAGGAGTTGGAGAGCAGCCTGGACAACATGGCAAAACCCCATCTCTACACAAAATTACAAAAATTAGCCATGTGTGGTGGCATACACCTGTAGTTCCAGCTACTTGGGAGGGTGAGGTGGGAGAAATGCTTGAGCCCAGGAGGTCGAAGCTGCAGTGACCTGTGATTGCCCCACTGCACTCCAGCCTGGATGATAGAGTGAGACCTTGTCTGTAAACAGAAAAAAAAAAAGGAGGATGTAAGAATAAGGTATGTTATTATGCAAGTATCCACAAAATGAATTTTAATAAAAAAATAAATTTAAATTCTAGGTACCCATGCCTAACATTTCCAAATTAGTCCTGTTGTATTTTATTTGTAAAAGAAAAATATATATACCTTTTAATAAGTCCAGTCTATCCCATCTATTGCTGCTTTTGTTGCTGGTACTGGAAAATTTTCAGGAATGTTCATCTGGTAGTTTTTATCCCCAGCATTTAAAATCATGTTACCAGTTGGAGATACTGGAAACCATCTCCCATGGCCATGTATAAGTTCTGTTCACCAATAAGTATTTTTTGAGCACCCAGACACTGTTCAAGAAAGTTTAGCAGTGAACAAAAGATAAAGCAAGGTTCCCGCTCTCACAAAAGCTTAGTTTTTGAGTACATAGTATATGCTCAATAAATACTTGTTGGTTACCTGATAGAGGTTCTAGTCTCCCGCTTTCAGATAATTGAAGATGCACTAACCAAAACGGCTGTATCAACGTCATTCTTAAGATAATCCCTCCTATCTGGGCAACTCAGAACAAACAGTTCTGTAAAACTAACAACCCCAGGTAACACAGGCAAGTCACCCATATCAGAATTAGCTGTTAACCATTTATAAAGCCAGAAAGGCACAACACTACAGATCTCTTTGCTTACTTTTCTATCATTCTTCTTTCTCCTCTTCCACTTTTTCTTTTTTTCTCTTTTATTATCTTCTCCATATCTCTAAAAATATATTTTTTTCTTTTGCTCCAACTTCCCCTTGTTTTTCTAGTGTTATTCTTTCTTTTTCTTCCAGTCTCTTTATCAAACATATACATTTTGCATGGCTACCCAGCTCGCCCACATGCTTTCTTGACTTCATAAGCCCCAATCCACTTGCTGCCACTGAAATATATTTTATTCTGTGAAGTCTGCAGTGCCTTAGAGAAAATTTAGATGTTTAAAGTATGTTTCATATTTTTAGAAATTTCAAATACTGGTTTCTATTTCAAAGATTCACTCAATAATACTCCATTTTCACTTATAAAGTTTTCTTTGGCTGGGCACGGTGGCTCACACCTGTAATCTCAGCACTTTGGGAGGCCGAGGCAGGTGGATCACTTGAGGTCAGGGATTAGAGACCAATCTGGCCAACATAGTGAAACCCTGGATCTACAAAAATACAAAAATTAGCCAGACTTGGTGGCACACTCCCAGCTACTTGGGAGGCTGAGACAGGAGAATCGCTTGAACCTGGGAGGCAGAGGCTCCAGTGAGCCAAGATTGCAGCACTGCACTCAAGCGTGGGTGACAGAGTGAGACTCCGTCTCCAAAAAAAAAAGATTGTGCCTGACTTTCATTTCTTAAATCACAAATACATCCAATATGCTAAGTTATGCCTGAGGGTATGATTCCATCCTGAAAAATAAGGAAAAATATTACAGCAAGTAAAACTAGAAAACAAAAATGAGTATTAGGAAGAGATACACAGGGGAAGGAAGGGGAATTTGGGGTTGGTTGATTTGTTTATTGAAATTTTATTATTGTTTATTGAGTCTATTTACATGGCTTACTCACTGGCCCTTGCGCTATATAAATACTTTTTTATTTCTACCACTTCTTTTTTGTTCTGATACCCCAAAAAAAGATGTTCTAAGTGCATCAGAGGATAGCATTTCTTACTATAATGCTTCAGTGATGTTGTCAGAGAGTTTCTATTCAGCTCTGGCCTTGAATTTAAAAGAGTATATTGATTTGTTCAACCAGCAAATACTTATTGGTCACTGAATATGTCAGGCCCTATACTAGGTACTAGGAATACAAGAATGAAGAAAGGAGACATACTTCATTTTCTCTATGAAGCCCATCTGAAAGTAGGAGATGAGACACTGAATCATTAGATTTCTCAAATCATGGTTTTATAGCAATAAATTTGAACCTATCCATTGCAAACATATCTCCATGTTCTGTTCTCTCTAGGTTTTCATTTCTTCCTTTTAGCCTATGTTTTCTTCCTCTCTTCTCTTCAGTTGAAGAGATTTTGTTTTTTGTTTTTGGGACAGGGTCTGGCTCTGTCACCCAGGCTGAAGTGCAGTGGCATGATATCAGCTCCTGGGCTCAACCTTGCAACCTCTGTCTCCTGGGTTCAAGCTGTCCTCCTACCTCAGCCTCCCAAGAAGCTGAGACTACAGGCACACAACACCACGCCCAGCTAATTTTTGTATTTTTTGTAGAGACGGGGTACCACCATGTTGCCCAGGCTGGTCTCCAACTCCTGGGCTCAAGTGATACACCTGCCTCAGCCTCCCAAAGTGCTGGAATTACAGGCATGAGCTACCGCGCCCGGCCAGTTGAAGAGATTCTTTACAACCCTTCTAAATCCACTACTCTTGACCTCCTCTAGTCTCTCTTCAAAAATTACTTCTTAAATAATTCCTTGCCAACATATTCAGTTTCATTTATCTCTCTGTATCCTGCTTCTAAAAAGGCAGATTGCCTTCAGATCAATCTTTACATAACAGTGATCAAAAGCCTTCATGACTCCTTGCTATGTTCCCAAAAAAGTCCAAACAAAACCCACTGCAACATAGCCCCCATGTACTTCTCAGCTTTCTCCTCTACTACTTCCAACATGTCATGCTCCAAACCAACTGAACTACCCACAGTTCCCTCAAAATACCTTGTTCCTTCTTACTTTTGTCCCTTTGATTAATACAATTTTCTAAAGCACAGAAAAGATGAACTGCTTTTTAAAAAGTAGAGATAGGGCCAGGCACAGTGTCTCAACTGTATCCCAGAACTTTGGGAGGCTGAAGTGGGTGGATTGCTTGAGACCAGGAGTTTGAGATCAGCCTGGCCAACGTGGCAAAACCCCATCTCACTAAAAATAAAAAAATTAGCTGGGCATGATGGCACATGCCTGTGATCCCAGCTACTTGGGAGTCTGAGGCATGAGAATCACTTTAACCCAGGAGGCAGAGGTTGCACTGAGCCAAGATCGTGCCACTGCACTCCAGCCTGGGTGACAGAGCGAGACTTCATCTCAAAAAAAAAGAAATAGTGTTTTATTGAATAAAATGAAAAAATTTCTGCCTAAGGACTTTCATTCGTATAATATTGAGAAAATTGAAACTGATTAGAAATAACTAACCATATGAGAATTACTACATAAACCATGGTATGTCAGTTTAATGGGATAACATGTTAAAATGCTAACTGTAAAGATTATATGGCAACTTGGAAACATGTTTATGAAGGAATAATTTTAGGTTGGAAAAGCAAAATATGGAATTGTACATAATTAGATTTCCACATTGTAAAAGTACGGTCTTATTGCCAAGACCAAAATGGAATGTCAAAAACTAAAAATGGTTCCTGTGTTAGAGTGATGGAATTCTATCTTTCCCCTGTTACATTAATCTGTAATGTTGTTACATAAAACTAAGTCTCTATATGTATTTTAATTTGTTGTGGATTTTGCAACAACCCACCAGTCAATTCCTAACCCCTGGTTACTTTCTTCTTTGTAGCCACTTTCTGATTCTTTCAATCAGAATTAAAGATTTTTGTTTCTGACTCTTGTATTCTGAATGATAATGTATATAAGCACAGATAGTGTTCTTTGTCCTTTGCAAATAATTCTGTAATATTTCTACAATTCATTTCTCACCCTTTCTAAGGTGAGGTGATTGATGTCCAGAACTTAGACAACTTTCT